GGGCTTCTAGGTTGGCTAGCCTATCTGCTGCCTCGTTCCCTTCGATGCCCAGGTGTCCAGGGGCCCATTTAATAGAGACGTCGTGGGTCTCCATAGCACCATGGCACTCCAGAAAGGCCCATTGAGAGGTAGGGGGTGCGTCGCCCCTGAGGCACCATATCACTGAGGTGCTGTCTATGCACAGCCAGATTCGGCGGGTGCGGAGCGCTGGTTGTCTTATAGTTTGCTAGAGGCCTCTCCACGCTCCTATTGCCTCAGCGTCAAAGACGTGGGAGGTAGGGTGGAGTAATCTGCGTCCAGTCTAGAGTTGTTTTCTGTCTTAATACACTGCAAAGCTGTAGGTAACCTACTTTCCTCCTTCCTTAGTGTACTATTCTAAGCTATCTAAGAAGATAGTAACATCTAGTAGTAAGAGCTAGGCCCACTATTAGCTAAAAGCCTTAGCTGCAGTCTTCTTGTCTATGCTAAGCGTTAGGTCTGTTTAGCAGCTAGTTAAGTAGTAAGGGGCTATAAGTGTAGTCCTAGGAATCTCTAGTAGAAGAGATGCTATCTGTTAGACTTTAGTCTTAACTTGCTAGGGTTGTCCTGTTTTTACGCCCCTGTTTACAATAGGTACTAGTGTGCGTCTAGTAAGGGGGTGTTCTGCATCTGTGGTGCGTAGACGGGCTGCAAATCTGAGTTTAGCTTGTTCTAGTGCTACTGCTGCTGGTAGCAATCCGGCATCTCGGAAGAGTGCAGCTATAGGGGTTGTCCTCCACGCTGGTAGAATGCCCCGCGCTGCTATGGCCAGGGTCTTGTCTATGGCAGCTATGTGCCATCTAATGTAGGCGCTGACCTCTTGTGGCCCGCCTGGTTTGAGTGAATGTGGTGGTTTAGTGCGGCCTCTGTACCAGCACTTAGTCCTATACAGAAGCCCTAGATACAGACAGGCAATAGTGGCCTTGCGGAGGGAGCTGGCTGGTGGTCCATAGGTAGTCCTGGCAAGGCTGTGAATATGATGGGCTACCTTGGTAGCCTTTGCAGTGCGTGTGGCTACATAACGTCTAAAGGTAAGTCTGCAGTCAAACCACACTCCTAGCCAGCGCAGGGCTGGCTGGCTGTGCTCTCCACCTAGGAGGATAGGGTGGATTGTAAGCTGCTTATCTACAACACAGGGTGGTGCGTAGCTGCTTCGTTGCCTAGTTAGGTGTATTATTTCTTGCTTTTCTAGAGCAAAGGTAACCTTGTTAGCCTCTCCCTATGCTCTAATCTGCCTTAGGTCTGATGCTAGGAGCTTAACGTTGTTGTCTATAGAATGTGAGGCTTGGTATAGACATATGTCGTCTGCATATCCAAATCTCTGTTCTGTATCTATAGACAGTAGCTTAGCTAGATACAGTGTGTACAGGACAGGAGAGAGAGGCGAGCCTTGGGGTGTGCCACAGGCGACAGGGTAGCTAGGGGTGGTGACCTGGCCAAGGCGGACTTGAACCCTCCGGTTAGTAAGGAATGAGTCTACAAAGAGGATAGTCCTTTGTGGCTAGCCCTGTTGGGCCATCTAGTGTAGCAGGCGGTTCTTAAGGAGGGCATCAAAAGCGCCTTGTACATCTAGGGTGACTATAGTGACATGCTTTCCAAGTACCCATGCGGCTTCAGTGTCGTGGGTGAACGCCGCGGTGAGGTCTGCTGCAGAGCGCTTTGGTAGGGCGCCTCCATGCTGGGGACTGAGGATCTTGTGGGTCATGGCTGTCCACGCAATTCGTCTGGCCACTGTTCGTTCAAGTCCCTTCCCAATGCAGGAGAGGAGCGCTATAGGTCTCCAGGAGCGGGGTGACGTTCGGTCTGTCTTCCCAGCCTTAGGTATTATAGCTACCTCAGCAAGCTTCCACTGTGCTAGGAAGTAGTTGAGCTTAAGGCACTGCTAGAAGATTCTTTGTATAAGTTCCCTAACCTGAGCCCAGCAGGCACGGAGTAGTCGCACAGTAGAGCGATCAGTGCCTGGGGAGGTGCTAGAGACCCCTATTGTATTTCGCTCACATTCCTCTAGTAAGATGTGCGTGCTCCACGGGAGGGTATCTGCATTCTCCTGGTCTAGGCAGTGCCTGAGGTTGTCCTCTGCTCTAAACTAGTTGAGGACCTCCTCTCTGAGGGCCTCTGCCTTCTCTAGGGGGTCTAATATAGCCACGTTATTTACTACAAGCAGAGCGTCTTAGTTCTCTAGCAAGAGCTTGTGCTAGGCAATAATCTTAAATAGGTCTTTGTTATTCTTAGCGTTGTTAATTATATGCCTCTAGTACTGTCTCTTTGCCTGTTAGACTGTAGTCTTAAAGGTCTGTCTCTCTTTAGGTAGACAGCTAGAGCAGAGCTGTCGCGCCTGTTTATAGACTTGGTAGGCAGTTTTGCACTCCTCTGTCCACCAAGGTGCAGCGCGGCCTTCCTTA